CTGCGTTTGTTTTGTTTTTCTAAGAGTTTAAGTTGTGTTTATTTAGGTAGGTGTGTGTGTGTGTGTGTGTGTGTGTGTGTGTGTGTGTGTGTGCACAGGGAAGACAGTGAGTCTGTGGGGGTCAAAGGACAGCTCGTAGGAGCAGTTCTCTCCTTCCACCGTTTGGGCTCCAGGGACCACGCTCTGTGGTAGGGCTTGGCAACAAGCCTGTACTCACTGAAACACCTCACAGCCCCTTCTTTCTGTTTACTTATTTACAAGACAGGGTTTCTCTGTGTGGCCCTGGAACTCTGTATGTAGATCAGGCTGGCCCCACAGAAATCCACCTACTTTTGCCTCTCAAGTTCTGGGATTAACACTTTTTTATTTTTTAAATAGTGACTTAAATGTGCTGGCTAAGAAATGAAATGCAGACAAGTTCAATTCACTGCAGTGCATAGAGAGTGGAAAACTGGAAGCCCACAGTGCAAGAGGAAGTGCGATACATCTGTCAAAATAGGATTCCCAGGCGGTGGTGGCCCACACCTATAATCCCAGCACTTGGGAAGCAGAGGCAGGCAGATCTCTGTGAGTTCAAGACCAGGCTGGTCTACAGAGTCAATTCCAGAACAACTAGAGATACACAGAGAAAGCCTGCCTTAAAAAACAAAACAAAACAAAAAACAAGATTCTCACACAAATATGTAAGCAAAGACTTGCCTAACTCATTGTCTACCCTGACAGTGAGAGATCGAACTGGAGAAAAATGCAGAAAACAAAGATGCAGGCGGCTTGCATGACACATAGACCCACTGTAGGGTTGAGTGAGGAACAGCCTTCGTCGTAGGCTCATGGATTTGAGGACGCTGTGGAACCTTTAGGAAACACAGCTTTCTCTGAAGTACTGGGGGCAGGCCTTGAAGTTTTCATAGCCTGCCCCACTTCCTGTTCTCACTCTCTGCTTCCTGTGTATGGATGAAACTGTGATCAGCCAGCTTTCTGGTCTGCCTCCAAGCCTTTCCTCCATGATCAGCTCTTATATCTTCTGTTAAAGTGAGAACAGCCTTTTCTCCCCTAAGTTGCTTTTGGTTGTGCTATTTTATCACAGCAGCAGGAAAGTCATGGATACCCTAGGTATCTAACAGCATTAAGGTCAGGTCCTCGGTGGTCGCATTTTCTGCTTGACAGAATTCATTTTCATTTTGCCAAATAAATCACTTTGAGACATCATGTTAATCTGGTTTAGGATGGTGGTGCTTAGGATGTAACTCGATGTGTAGCCTAGGCAGCTTCAGACTTGTGGTAGGAATCCTCCTGTCTCAGCTCATGATTGCTGGTACAAGTGCGAGCCATTGCACCTGCTGAGTCCTTTTGTTTTTTGTTTTTTGATTTAGCAATTTTCTCAGGTTAATCACTAACCTTGCAGAGTCCAGGCTTAGTCACTGTGGTGGTGTGGATAGGTTTGCTCCACCTCCCTGTAGACTCGTGTTTGAGTGCTTGGCCCGTAGGAAGTGGCACTCGTAGGAGGTGTGGCCTCGTTGGAGGAGGTGTGGCCTTATTGGAGGAGGTGTGGTCTTATTGGAGGAGGTGTGGCCTTGTTAGAGGAAGTTTGCAACGGTGGAGCAGGGCTTTGAGGTCTGAAATGCTCACGCTACGCCCAATGTGAAACATATCCGTCTCCTTCTGTTGCCAGTGGATCAGATACAGAACTCTCAGGCCCTTCAGCGCTACGTCTGCCTGCATGCCGCCATGTTTCCTGCCATGATGACAATGAACTAGACCTCTGAAGCTATAAGCCAGCCCAATTAAATGTTTCCTTTATGAGAGCTGCCTTGGTCACGGTGTCTCTTCACAGCAATGGAAACCCTAACGAAGACAGTCACTCATTAGTAATTAGAAAGTTTAAGTAACTTACTTCCCAACCATCAGGTGGCCTCATGTGGGCTTGTTGGACAATAGATGGTATCAGCATTAAATTATATAAACAATGCTTTGGTCTTTATTTTCACATTTTGAACAATTTTTATGCTTATACAGTGTAAGCTTTGATTTCTTTAAACCTACTTTATTTGGGGTTCATAAATGCCTCAAACCCCAAACCCTAGGTAGGAAAGAAAGAAGCTTAGTAGGGACAGACCATTCTAGACTTAGTTCCTTGGGGCGACTCCACTCTCTGTGGTCAGGATATCCAGCAGTCCAGCAACAGCAAAGGCAGCAACAAGGACCAGGAGTAGCAGCAGACAGCACAGTGGCCCGAATTGGCAGCAGCCTCCCTGAAACATTCTCTGAAGTGTTTTTCTCTAGGAGAGTTTTGAAGCAAAGCGTTCTCTCTCTCTCCATCTTCCTCTCCCTCCCTCCCTACTCCTATTTACACCTTCTCAGGGTTCACACCAGGATGCTTTTCCGGAGGCAAAACCCACGGCCGTGCACAAGGCAGTTTCCAACTGACCAGGACCACATACCCTCTCAAAAGGCTGTTATCAGTTGTGGCTTCCCTTATTCCATACTTGGGATTACAACAAAACATATTTACATAAGCAAAACTTCCACTACAATATGGCTTCATTCTTGGTAAGATATTTGCTTCTAAATAAAGTAGCCAATGCAGAGCTTAGTGGTCCACACCTTTCATCCTAGCACGTGGAGCAGAGGCAGGAGGTCCTGAGTTCAAGGCCAGGCTGAACTTTACAGTGAGCTATATCTCAGAAATCCAAAAGGAAAGCAAAGGAGGAAGAAGTCACCACACCTCACTTCAGATAAGCCCAGAAAAGAGATTTGCAGACGTGATCCAGCCCAGAATGTGACTCCCAATGTCCCTCTTGCCCCGGCCTCATTTAAGCCTTCGAGGCAACAGCCAGGCAAAGCATTTTTTCTCCCAGACTCATTGCTCCCACACCTCTAAGCCAGCATTTCCCATTACAGAAGGAGCCCCAGTTGTCAATCATGAGCTTGGTGTCTTTGCTTTCCCCTCATGAGTGAGAAGCCACTCTCTGGATCCTACTCAAGTCTAGGTTGGCTATGCCAATCCCATCAGCCACTCTGAGCATTTACAGGCAAGTGTATCTGACAGCAAGAGAACTACTCGTTGGCTTGGAGTATATCCCTGCCCTGCTGAACCAGGCTCAGTAAGCTCATGGATGGAGTTTAGAGGCCTGACCATTGCCTTAAAGGAAATGCTTGGGATGAGGCCAAGCTTGTGTCAAGGGCAATTTAAAATTGGCAGAAGCAGGTGAGAGGCTTCACATTTGCTTCTTTCATTAATTTTTTTATTACGTGTTCTTATCTTGTGTGTAGGGGTGCGGGTGTATGCCACAGTGTGTGGGGGTGGGGCTCTCAGAGGACAGTTTTTAGAAGTTGCATCTCTTCTACCTTGTGGGTCCTGAAGGTCAAGCTCAGGTCAGCAGGTCTGGCAGCAAGAACCCACTGGACCACCTCAGCCGCTCCTGACTCGCTTCTGTGGTGCCTGTGATTGCACATAGGCCCTCATGCCTGTCAGCCACACAGTTCACCACAGAGCCACGTTTCCAGCCCAGGAGCCACACCAAAGCACATGTCCGCTTCAGCCCTGTTGGCCTCGGTGAATGCTCTAGTCTGCTTACATCTTCCCTTTCTTTAGTAAGGGATGGTGTGGACCATCCAATATGGCCCCCTTGCTTCGTGCTGGTCCTACGACATCCTAGGAGCATTTTGCATGAGTACACAAACAGTCCTTGGGTGTCACCATCTCTGGTCCATCCTGGAAGTCTGAACTGCCAGTCCTGGGTTCTGCTGTAGGGGTTATGCAGCCCAGGGTGCCATGGGTAACAACTGCAGACATCTCCACGTAGTGGTATGGAACACCCCTTTGCCAAGGCCACAAGTCCCTGTGCTGTGCTGGCCGACCGTGACTATCTAAGTCCTTTGGAATAATTCACCTCTACCTGTGAATGGCTCATTCTCTGTAGGACTCAGGCTAGAGCCTAAGTACCTCTTGGCTCTGCATCTCTTGTAGACACAGTCTTGCAACTCCACTCTTGGTCCTTGAGGTGAACTTTCTCCTGGAGGCTTGTGGGAAGCACTCAAGCGACAGTTTTCCCAACATGTTCATTAGCAGGAAAACCAACCTAGAGTTCGGAAATAAGGCCCTGTCATGTAAGTGGAAACCTGGCATGGCACCCATCAGCTCCTTAGCGTGCAGATGGCTCCTCATCGTAGCCCAGGCCCAGGGGAGCCTCTAACCTCATGTGCATTACTGTTTTCAAGTGTCTTCTGATTTGGGAAGGCGTGGAGGAGTATTCAAAAAGAGAGGCCAGCAGAGAGCTAGGGTGCGGCCCTGCATGTGGTAACGAGCCCCCGCAGGTCACTTCCTGTCCACAGCCTCAGCTCCGTCCATGCTGCAGGGGTGCTCTAGATGAGGGTGGCCAGCCTTTTCTGAAAGGCGGAGGGCGGTTCTGTAGGTTACCCAGCTACTTCGGTCATCACTGTCATGGAACATTTGGCAAAGGCAACTTAGGAGATATTTATTCTCGCTCACTGTGCAGAGGACATGGTCCATCCCAGCAGGGAAGGTGTGGAGGCAGGGTCAGCTCTGTGGCTGTGGCAGTGAGCGCACGGGGCAGCTGGAACTAGGGAGCTACAACCCTTGAGTCCTGGCCACTGACAACCTGCCTCCTCCAGCCAGGTCCTGCTTCCTAAAGCTTCCACTGTCCCCCAAGACAGTGCCACCAGCTAGGGACCAAGTCCAAGCACGTGAGCCACATGCAGACGATAACGCAGGCCATTGGCTCACCCCTACTCCATGTCTGTCGTCGGCTTTGCACGGCAGTATTGATGTACTCTCATGTGCACACAGGCAGTAGCCCATGTTGGATAGGCATGCCACCCACACTTGCCCAGGCCAGGCCTATGTGGGCTCAGAAGTCCCTTCAGGCTAACGGTGAGCTCCTTTGATGGCACATTCACTTCAGTTGAATGGGAGGGTCTAATATAACAGCAGCAATTTAGGTGTGATTTTTGATATCCTCTTTTCCCCTTTGCTCCAGGGATTCATTGAATCTGGACAGTGCTCGTTGGGAGGCCGCCACATGCCAGGCGCTGTTCTTGCTGCCGGGGAGCTGTAAATCAATTTAATCAACAGTTGACGAAATCCAAAATATCAGCTTGCTCACAGCCTAAATGAGCGTGGTCATGACCAAACATCACCAACACTCTGGTAAGTCCAGTGTTCGACCTCAGTTCTGGGGTGGAGAGGCAGCTCAGTGCTTCAGTGCTCTTACTTGTCCCAAAGGACCTGAGTTTGGGTCCCACCACCATGTGCAGGGGCTCACAGGGGCTGACAGCCTCTTGTAACTGACTCCAGGGATCCAGTGCTGGCCCCTGGCCTCCACAGTTGCACATGGCACATACGCAGACACATGCAATGTAAATAATAAATAGGTTTAACTGCATCCACACTCAAGCAAACGTGTCAGGACCTCTCGGTGTAAGTGCAGCAAGTTGGATGGACAGCCACAGATCCATTCCAGGAGACTCGGTCGGCGCGGCTTTTCAGAGCCCTGCTAAGACCAGCACTGGCCTGCACAGCAAGGCTCTGACGCCCACGCTGGACAGTGACCTGCACGGTGGCCATCGGTGATAACGGTCAGGCCTTGCTCAGCTGCAGGGAAAGCGCAGCTTATGTTGGAGCACACGGCAGGAAAGGGGCACCGACATTCCACACACACACGCGGCATCAGGACATGCTTTCCCGACTGCACAGAGTTGTTCTGTCTTTCCCACAGAGGCAGGTAAGTGTGAGGAGGTACTTGGACCACAAGCAGATGGTAGTGCCGAGGTTGGTCCTTCATGTGTTTATTTCTGAAATGTCGCCACTGATGAACCCTGTCCAGGAAACCTGCAACAAAACTGAAGTTGGATGGATCAGTGGGCTGAGCTTAGTGACATCCTGAGCCACCGCCCAGAGACGTTGGAGGTGACAGGGTAGGAAGTTCAACTCAGATCATGACTAGCATGAGGTACACCCGTGTGGAGTGTCTCTGTTGTACATATGTCTCTATGTGTGCATGTGTGTCTGCGTGTGTGTGCATGTGTGTCTGCGTGTATGTGCATGTGTGTCTGCGTGTGTGTGCATGTGTGTCTGCGTGTGTGT